GTGTCCGCACATGCTCAGTCTGACAGATTCTGGTAAGTGGAACGACTTCAACAGAGCGAAACCCTCACGAGAGGCGACTGGATTTCAAACAAGTTTGATATTCTTGCGACGAATGCCGATCGGGAGCTGGCCGTGAGGTATTAATCGTTTCTTTTTACCCCATGTTGCTACAGGAAGCACGACACACGATGAAGTCAAAACTCGGCCCGATCCCCAAAACAGTCGCACAACTGAAAAATTGGCTCTAAAAGGGTCAAAAATCGCACAGTGTACGCCTGGTCTAAGGGTTACACGTTATAAGTACTTTTTACTTCAGACTAAACCCTTTCGGTCATGATCTATGGGATTGTAGTCTATGTTTTGTTTTGTTTTGTTTTGTAGTGTTGCAAAATGACTGAATAAACTACTACTACTACTACTACTACTACAAGACAAGACTACGAGACACAAAAGCCACTGAGAAATGCAAATAAAACCTGAATTTCCCTCAGAATTTGTAAAGTATCTATGCATCTATCTCTGTGTTTCTCGGCTTTTAATAAACTTCACATAGTTCGTATAGTTATAGTTACTTCATTTGATAGTTCTGGTTTGTTCTTTTGGCCTCGGTGGCACAGACTGGAGCAGGATGAGCTCACGGTTCTGCTGTAAACACACTCACAAATCAACTGTCTGTGAACCAAAGGAGCGGAATACACACACGGGTCAAAGTCTGCAGCGCAAACAGGAAGAGCCTAGATCCATTACTTAATCCTAAAAGATCTCATATGTTGCATCAATCTGGAATTTAAACGCATTTGTTTTACACTTAAGCAATGATTTTTTTTTATACACAGTGAAAGAACCAATCTGTTTGTAATTGAAAAAGTCAAATTTTGCTGATTCATAAACGGGAAGCAGACGAGTCAAGCAGTTTAAACATTGTTAGTTAGTTAGTTTATTTTCTTCGGTCAGTTAACATAATCACACATCATATAACAAGGTTTTAACACAAAAAATACACAGCAAAAAGTGGAGTGTTAAAATTGACTCTCACAGAATCAACTTTAACATTTTCTCAGAGTTTATATGAGTCCAATCTGTTCTAGAGTTAATTTAACATTATTGGAAATGTTAATTAAGTAACACTGGACCAAAGTTCCTGTTTAACCCCGAAATCAAGAGTTATATTAATGTTTTGAGAGTAAACAGATAACACTTTGTAGAGTAATTCAGAATTAGTTAAACAACACACAGAGGTGTTTTATTTTATTTTTTATTTTATTTGAGTTAATTTAAGATGAAATGATGTACAAAACTGGTTCAAACTGGTCTTCTCTCACAAGAGTTTGAAGTGGTGAATGGGAGGAGCCAAATTAACACTAAGAGAAGTTGAATTAACACTAAGAGAAGTTGAATTAACACTAGAGGAAGTTGAATTAACACTAGAGGAAGTTAAATTAACACTAAGAGAAGTTGAATTAACACTAGAGGAAGTTGAATTAACACTAAGATAAGTTGAATTAACACTAGAGGAAGTTGAATTAACACTAAGAGAAGTTGAATTAACACTAGAGGAAGTTGAATTAACACTAAGAGAAGTTGAATTAACACTAGAGGAAGTTGAATTAACACTAAGAGAAGTTGAATTAACACTAGAGGAAGTTGAATTAACACTAAGATAAGTTGAATTAACACTAGAGGAAGTTGAATTAACACTAAGAGAAGTTGAATTAACACTAAGAGGAAGTTGAATTAACACTAAGAGAAGTTGAATTAACACTAGAGGAAGTTGAATTAACACTAAGATAAGTTGAATTAACACTAGAGGAAGTTGAATTAACACTAAGAGAAGTTGAATTAACACTAGAGGAAGTTGAATTAACACTAAGAGAAGTTGAATTAACACTAAGAGAAGTTGAATTAACACTAGAGGAAGTTGAATTAACACTAGAGGAAGTTGAATTAACACTAAGAGGAAGTTGAATTAACACTAGAGGAAGTCGAATTAACACTAAGAGAAGTTGAAATTAACACTAAGAGGAAGTTGAATTAACACTAAGAGAAGTTGAATTAACACTAAGAGGAAGTTGAATTAACACTAAGAGAAGTTGAATTAACACTAAGGAAGTTGAATTAACACTAGAGGAAGTTGAATTAACACTAAGAGAAGTTGAATTAACACTAGAGGAAGTTGAATTAACACTAAGAGAAGTTGAATTAACACTAGAGGAAGTTGAATTAACACTAAGAGAAGTTGAATTAACACTAAGAGAAGTTGAATTAACACTAAGAAAGTTGAATTAACACTAGAGAAGTTGAATTAACACTAAGAGAGTTGAATTAACACTAAGAATTGAAGTTGAATTAACACTAGAGGAAGTTGAATTAACACTAAGAGAAGTTGAATTAACACTAGAGGAAGTTGAATTAACACTAAGAGAAGTTGAATTAACACTAGAGGAAGTTGAATTAACACTAAGAGAAGTTGAATTAACACTAAGAGAAGTTGAATTAACACTAAGAGAAGTTGAATTAACACTAGAGGAAGTTGAATTAACACTAAGAGAAGTTGAATTAACACTAAGAGAAGTTGAATTAACACTAGAGGAAGTTGAATTAACACTAAGAGAAGTTGAATTAACACTAGAGGAAGTTGAATTAACACTAAGAGAAGTTGAATTAACACTAGAGGAAGTTGAATTAACACTAAGAGAAGTTGAATTAACACTAGAGGAAGTTGAATTAACACTAAGAGAAGTTGAATTAACACTAAGAGAAGTTGAATTACTTAAGAGAATTAACACTAAGAGAAGTTGAATTAACACTAGAGGAAAGTTGAATTAACACTAAGAGAAGTTGAATTAACACTAAGGAAGAGAAAGTTGAATTAACACTAGAGGAAGTTGAATTAACACTAAGAGAAGTTGAATTAACACTAAGAGGTTGAATTAACACTAGAGAAGTTGAATTAACACTAAGAGAAGTTGAATTAACACTAGAGGAAGTTGAATTAACACTAAGATAAGTTGAATTAACACTAGAGGAAGTTGAATTAACACTAAGAAAAGTTGAATTAACCTCAACCACATCAACTCTGACAAATAACTCCAACTCAAACCCCCATTTAACTTTAAAATAGTTAAAATAACACTTTTGGTGTTAAAAACAACTCTAAAATATTTTATGCAAAAATTTTAACCCTCCAGTTTTTGCTGTGTACGGTTATTCTACAGACCGAAGGAGTTTAGGCTGAAGTTTAACACTTGTTTTGCCTAAACCTGTTCACATATAAAGCAGGATACAAGACGGCAGAACTATTTAGAGAAAACAACAGAAAACGCATCTTTTATGAGCGCAGGAAAGAAAATATCCTTAAATCTTTTAGTATACACATACACAAAAGAGAACACAATCCAATATACGTCAATGATCACACACACACACAGACACACACACAGACAAACACACTGACCATGTACATATTTATACCTATTGGTTTATAAATACACTTAAATAAATACGGGCGCCAGTCACAAAAAAACTGTCATCTTGTCCTTAGACAAGACACTTCTGTCAGTCTGCCCCAGGGCAGCTGTGGCTACAACAGTAGTTTAACATCACTGGGTGTGGAGTAAAAAGAATAATGAATCTATAAATGCTCTGTAAAGCGTCTTTGTGACATATGTCTGTGAAAAGTGCTATAGAAATAAAGACTTATTTACTTAAATATATAAAGATAATTGAGGGTTACAGTTCAAGTTCCATGGGGTAAAATATGATTTATTGTATTTCTCTATAATTCTGGTCTTACATATATATTTTTTAATGTGTAAATTGTTTTAGAGCCTTTTGAAGTTTCAATTAACACCTCTGATGGAGACACATCGACTTTCCAGGCTGCTCCTCACATGAGTTTTATGAAAGAGGTTTTGTTATAGCAGATTTATAGATTGAACCGGCAACTTCAACCACGACTCCATTCACCCAAAACATGCACCACAGGTAAAAATCCTCCAACTAAAGTCTAGCACCAAGATCTGGAGATGGGAACCTGAGCACCCTGAGGAGACACCCCAGCAGCACTGAAGGATGGGTCAAATGTAGAGGACAAAAGTGCATTTGATAGAAGATTTGTCAGTAAATTTAACAGAAAAATATTTAATAAATCAACACAACTGTTCCATGTTTTCACTAAAGTCACTTTAGGTCATGCATCCTAATTTTTGTATTGTATTGTATTTTTTATTTTATTTTATTATTTTATTTATTTTATTTTTATTTTTATATTTTATTATTTATGTATTTATGTATTTATTTTTAACTACATGCATCTGCAACAAAGAGATCTAAAAAAATGAATACATAAATTAAGAAAGAATTTACATAACTTCTCTTTTTACAGATTTATTATTTTTTTTTTTTTAACTCCATGCATCTGCAATACATAGATCTAAAAAATGAATAAATAAATGACAAAAGAATTTACATAACTTCTCTTTTTTTTTTTTTTTTTTACAGATTTTCATGTTATTTTTTTATTTTATTTTTTTTCCCTCTGGTCACAAAATATTCCTCCAAAACAATTCTGCACTGGAACAATTGTCTTTGTTCTATTCATTATGCACAATAAAGTGGTAAACATTGCAGAAGAGTGATAGCAGTTTAGAAGTTTTTTGTTTTTTTTACTACAATCTAAACACATGCATACCAAAATCTTATTATAATCTGATTTCTGGACAATATAAGATTACTCAAATGACATAAAAACTGCAAGATCAGAAAGAAATTTGATCATTTTGCTTTTTATATTTCACTTAAATAATATTGTAACTCCAAAAATCTCACATTAATCAGATTTTGAGTGTAAATGTGGTAATAATTTCTGCAGAAGTAAAATCAAAATATACTTTCAAAATGGAGATACCTCTTTTTGCAGCTGAACTCTTCTAAAAAATTGCAGTAAAATGAGTTAATAATGAGTAAAATTCTATCCCCATCACAGTCCCCATGTGTCCTACCTGAGTGCGAGTCTGTGCTGAGCTCCAGCCTCTGTCCCATTGAAAAGCTCTTTAAAGCTCTGCTCTGTTATTGTGTGTTTACGCCGTCACCCAGAGACACTGTGTAACATCAGGGAGGGGCCGGGGCAGGAGCCGGGGCAGGAGCCGGGCCCGGGGCAGACTCCAGGCCGCTGTGGTGCAGTGGGCTGAACAGACGCCTGTGGACCAGAGGGTAACAGGTTAAATCCACGCCCCTGCACGCCGCACTCGCTGTGAAAATGGAAATCTAGCCAAGTTAGGATTGTTTGAATTGAGACATTTGTTATTGTGATTTGAGTAAATTTCACTTGACAAGTAAAACGATCTACCAGTGGAACCAGACTTTTTGTACTTAAAATATGAAAATACATCTTGTTACATTTAAGATAAGAAAAACAACAACTTTTTGCACTTAGAATAAGAAACAAAATCTAATATTGCTTGAATTAAGAAAAACACACTTATTCCATTGAGAGATAATTTTACTTGTCAAGTTAAATCGACTCAAATAAAGTCAGATGTTCTTAATTTAAGCCATTTCTTTTGCAGTGCTGTTGTTATTTTTAAGGTTAGAGTTGTCAAAAGTATCCACAATAACAAGAAAGTATGTGTTGAAGTTACTCAGCAGGTCATGTTGCAGGTCTGTGGAGAGGCGAGCATGCTCACATTAAAAAAATTCCATTCATCCTTATCTGGGGACATGTCACTGGGGCAGCAGTCTAAGCAGGGACTCCCAGACTTCCTTCAGCTCCTCCAGAGGGACCCCGAGGTGTTCCCAGGCCAGCCAAGAGACATAGTCTCTCCAGCATGTCCTGGGTCTTCCCCGGAGTCTCCTCCCGGTGGGACATGCCCGGAACATCTCTACCGGAACAGGAACCGTCACCTTATCGTGGTGGAGGGGTTTGAGCGCCCGAATGATCCCGGGAGCTACGATGTTGGGGGCTTCATCACCCAAGGCAAACAGGTCTTGGGGGACGGGTCAGACGAAGAGCGGTTCAGAAGCCCCTTTATGAGTTCAAGACAGAGGACAGTAGGGCTGGGTATCATTAAGAAGTTGCCAATACAATACATACCTCGATACACAGGCCACGATACGATACCTATACCGATACAGTGCACTTTCGATTCGATATGATATAATTCAAATTGATTCGATACAGTTCAATAAAAAATAAAGGCTAAATCATGGCTGTGATACTAAAAGTGTTTGTTAACCCTCTCAGGCTCAAATAAATTTTTAGTATCAGGAAAAATCTGATATTTGGGGAAAATTATAATATGGGGTAGTAATATACAATCCTGACTTTTTTATACTTTGTAAACAAAAAAAGTATTTTGCACTTCTGGCAGGCCGTTTGTGTGTAGTCATTCTTGCACAGTCTGCATCGTCCACATTTATCAGCATGGATGGAGAAAAGGCTCCTGAGTTAAAAAAGCTCATAAAATATGGATGTGGAGTAAGTAGGTAATTGGAATTTAGCTGTTGCAAATCTGCAACACCTGCCTGGAGAGGGTTAAACCACTTCTTGTGCAAAGTTCATATGAAACACAAACATTTTAATCCTCAGAACAGTGTTAAAATGTCAAATGTGCTGCATAAATGAGTTTCCTTTCACTCCACAAGCAACAAAACTGTAGCTCTGCAACAAAATAATTTAGTAAAACACGTAAAAATATTCTTGGTGATACATCGATACAGCAGCCCACGATATCGACACTGCATCATCACATTAAACGATATGATATATCGATGTTCCGATATTTTTGCACACCCCTAGAGGCTAGCGACGTCACCTGGATCGGCTTTACTGGGGCCCCACCCTGGAGCCTGGCCTGGGGCGGGTGCTCGACATCGACTTGGGGCCGCCCCCCAGTGGATGGTAGGTCCACGGTCGGATCCATGTGTTGCCGGTGCAGAGAGATCTGGGCGGCGGTCGAAGGCGGGGACCTCGGCCACTGGGTCTCCGGACATGGAAACACTAAAACATTCCAATGTATTTTTGAACAATATCTAAAATCGAATCAGTGTGAGACAGAAAAATTTAACACCAGACTGTGGAACATTCTGGAAAATACAATAACAACTCCATGGAAACAATCAGGTGACGGACCTTCCACCAGAAAAGTTACGTAGCGCATCTTCAAGCTTTACTCTCTGTTCTGTATAAACCTGGACCATCTCCAGACTGAAGAACTCAAACTGGATCAGAGCTTTTAATTCGTTGAGCATTGATGGTGGAAATGGAAATAGACAAATAAAACAAAAAGGTCGAGAATCATTACGAAAACGATCAAATGAAGCTTTTGGGTGACAGGCAAGTTGTAATTTTCTAGCAGCATACTCTTACTCCTACTTAAGTAATATTTCTAAAGTAACAGTCCTATCAGTTTGTGTTGTGGTACTCGAGACAGGTTTTGGCCTTGAGACCGGCCTCAAGACTTGTTTTTTTTGCAGTCTCGGTCTCCTCTCAGACTCTTTTATTTAGAAGTAACATTACTTCTCTGCTGACAGGTTGGTGGTTCAATTTCCCCAAGTGTAAAACTACTTAGATTTAGACTTCGATTTTATTGATCCACAAGGGAAATGACTTGGACACAGCAGCTCAAAAACGTCACAATATATTACAATAAAAAAGAGTAGTACTGTGTAAAAATGTTAATCTACTTCCAAATAAGTAGCAATAAAATAAAATTAAATGAAAAAAAACAAACATTTATCTCAACAGTTTTAGCCTAATTACAGCTAAATTGTTTACTGTTAATTGTTTATTTCTCTGATCTGGCCAAGATTTTAAAACGTATATCAGGTTATTCATCTTGTTTTCAGGTTTATTATTGACTTATGAGTTGTGAGATGCTTCATTCTAGTCTAGAGGTCGTTTATTTTAAGAAAACTCAGTGAAATGATCAGTTCGTGCAAGATAATTTCCCAATTTTTAAGTCATTTTCTGATCGATTTCAGTGTTTATATCTTAAGAGAAGAAGAGAGATTTTCACGTGGGGCATTTAAAAGCACAATTTAATTAAAAAAGAAAATAAAACAAACAACAAACGAAGATGAAACGTGTGTGATTTTGTGATTTTGTCCTGGTGAGAAAGTCTCCGTCTCGCCCTCGGCTCAGGTCACTCGGGTTTGGGTTTGTTTGGTTCCGTCTCCATGGCGATGTGTCCGTGGGCTGAGGAGATGAGGTCACTTCTCTCCCTCGCTCCCTCCCTCCCTCGCTCCCTCCCTCGCTCCCTCCCCCCATCCCCTTCCTTCCTCTCTCCCCCTTCCTTTCACTTTCTGACCCTCCTCTCCCCCTTCCTCTCTTTCTCTTTCTCTTTTTGTTTTTCTCCCTCTCTTCCTGACACCTGTCTTCCTCTCTTTCTCTCTTTCGTGACTCTCTCCCCATCTCATTTTACCCTTTATGACTCTCTTTATCTCTCTGTTTTCTCCATCTACTTTATCACCCTCTTCCCTCCCTTTGTCTCTTTCTCTCTTTCTGATGCTTCTCCTCCCTCCTTCCTGCCCTCACCCCCAAACGTTTGAGCTGCAAAATAATGTTTAATTATTAATGATTATTATTCTTTCTTTTTCTTTCTTTCTTCTTTCTTTCTTTCTTTCTTATACCTCTCCTTTCTTTCTCATCCTTCTCTTTCCCTCCCATCTTCTCTCACCTCCTCTCCTCTTTCTCTTCTCTCTCTCTCCCTTTCTTATACCTCTCCTTTCTATCTCTCTTCTCCTTCCTATCTCTCCCCCTCTCTCTCTTCCCCTCTCTCTTTTCTTATAATCCCCTCCCCCTCTCCCCCTTTCTTCTCTCTCTCTTTCTAATACCTTTCCTTTCTATCTCTCCCCTTTTCTCTTCCATCTTATCTTTCCGTCTCTCCCCTCTCCTCTCTCCCTTTCTCCTTTTTATCTCTCTCTCCTCTTTCCCTCCCATCTTCTCTCTCTCTCTACCTCCTTCTCTCTCTCTTTCATATACCTTTCCTTTCTACCCCCCCATCTTTCCCTCCCATCTTCTCTCACCTCCTCTCTCTCCCTCTTTTACTTTCTTATACCTTTTTTTTCTACCTCTTCCCTCTCTTTCTCCCCCTGTCTCTCTCCCTCCCCTGCTTTCCCCCCCTTTCTCTCTTCTCTCCTCTCTCTTTCACGTTCTTATACCTTTATTTTCTACCGCTCCCCTCTCCTCTCACTCTCTCTCTCTCTCTCTCTCCCCTTTCTTCTCTCTTTCTCTCTTCCTTCTCTCCCTCCCCCTCTCATCCTTTCTTATACCTCTCTCTCTCTCTCTCCTCTCTCACTCTCTCTCTTTCTAGCTCTCTCCTCTTTCCCTCCCATCTTCTCTCCTCTCTCTCTCTCCCTTTCCTCTCTCTTTCTCTCCTCCTTCTCTCCCTCCCCCTCTCTTCCTTTCCTATACCTCTCCTTTCTACCTCTCCCTCCTCTCCTCTCCTCTCCTCCCTCCCTCGCTCCGTGGACCCTGTGACCTGTGTCCGTTCGGTGAGACTTTCCCGGGGTCATGTGTGTCTCTCTCCTTCTTCTCCTTCTTCTTCTCCTTCTTCTTCTTCTCTTCTTCTCCTTCGCGTCACTCGGGCGGGTGAGTGGACTCTCTCTGTTTGATTTCGGAGCTCAGTGTGAAACTCGGACACAGTTTTGAACCTATTTGTGAGAAAACTTCATGTGGGAACCGGAGACCCGCCCTCGGTCCTCATGACATAAGAAGAAACTGATGCCAGAATCATGAACACCCAAGACGACGACGCGACGTGCCCCGAAAACAAAATCACTCATGGAAACTTTTAAAGGCCCTGCGCTCCATTTATTTGAGCAAAATGAGTTGTATAAGCAGCTCTGTGTTCGCTCTGTGCTCTCTGTATCAAATTATAAGAGAAGGAAGTGAGTGTTAACATGCCAGTTGCTGTTCGCTCTACTGTGAAATTGTCAGAATAAGTCTGAGTGTTTAAGAGTTTTACTGTCCTAGAATCGTGTGATAATTGTTGTTATAGCTTTTTTGTGATGGCAAAAACTCTGCTCTGGTTTCTGAAAGTTGTGAA